ATTTGATTCTCCATTATTGTGGTACCATAGAACCCTAATATATCCCATTATAGTAAAATACTACTCACTTGGCCCCTGTGGGGTGGAAAAGGCTGGAGGAGGCATACCATTTCTCTTGCCGCCCTGAAGCGCCAGCTGAAGCAGGTAGTTCTTCTTTCTGTTTGTGGGTAAGTGTATATATATACATATAATCCCTCTTAGGTAGACAGAATATGGCTTTGGGTATATTATAATAAGATCCCAATATACCCCATATTCTATCTACTTAAGGGGGATTATAGGCTTCACGCAGGAAAATTGTTGAGCATATACATTTGGTGTTCAATGTAGAGGACCGTACGTTAAACATCCCTGACGGCTCACCTTCCTACCCTTGGCACTAGGCCACGGGCACGGCAGCGAAGATGTTTACCTTAAACCCTTGTTGGCAGGAGAACCAGAAGTAAGAACAGCTTCTGAGCCATTCTTTGGTCTCGCGACGTCCCAGATTACTGTATTCTCCGTAGACCTACCAGAAAAATGCAATATTTCTAATATTTCTATAGGGTTGTGCTATAATAAAAGTTAGAAATAATTCCTAAGCACAGTACAGATTAATTGCCCATGTCCTTCCCACGCTGGAGCCTTCTCCGCGGATCAGTGATGTGGGCAGCTCCTTCTCTGCGAGCCAGGGCCATGTCAAATAGAGCATAGAAACACGCCATCAAAGGCGCAAGTTAGTTGCCCTTTTGTTGCTTCAATGACTCTAAGAAATGAGCACTGGCCGTCACCACCGTCACCAGGTTTGTTGAAACGAGTCTATAGCCACATGAGCCATTGTCTAAACTCCTAGTATCCCCCTTGATAAGCGCTATAACGCTGCCCCATATAATCCCTTATATAACTCCCCCTTAAGGCGTTTAGACTATGCCTCACATGACAGAGGGCGGCGAAGGCACCTTTTCGGCACTCTGCCGTTGATGTGTTCTGCGTTGTGCTATGCAGGCTTATTGCTGTCAGCTTTTCCCGGAGCAGGCGCCAATTGAGCCATAGTCTAAACTCCTCAAAGGAGGTTGTATAAGGGATTATTTCGGGGACTACTATAGGGGTTATTAAGGGGGGATACTAGGAGCTTAGACTATGGCTCAATTAGTCTTCAAGCTTTCATACAAAATAACTCGAGTGATCACGTGAGACCGGTGACATACAACTTGCCGGCCTTGGAACGGGCTCCGTGGGATTGACGACGCGAGCCCTTACACGATCAACTCATCCCACTCAGCCAGGACTAAGGGCCGAAGTAGGTTATTTGGGTAGTATGTTATTTGGGGATACTATAGTACCCAATATAGAGTCAGATACAGCCAAAAACAAGCCTTACCCGCTCTGAGTGAAGTCCAGTTGCTTCTATCACAGGATTTCTTTCAATAGGAGCATGCTAGCTGATCTGGCCAATGCAAGTAGCTGCAGTCCCCCAATCCCACAAGTTGGAACATGCGTGACTTTGGACTGCTGAATTCCCAGCCTCATCCGATACCAATCGATTTTCGGCGTCGCTTCGTCTTGCTGCTGTTGAGCATGCTGCCGAGCACACCAGCGAAGGCCTGCGACTCAAAATTATGGTTCTTACCTGACATTCCATAATTTGCATCTTTGCCTGTACTCTGTAGCAACCGTGCTACTGCAGACGCAACAGAACGTGAATGAGGGCTCCTTGCGAAGTTCGTTCCGCACAAGAATCGTTTTGGGTGCGCCAGTGAACCGATCCGGGCTTGTTAGGCTTTGGCAATTCTCGGACTCTCCCTTTGCTTCCCTTCGATCCGGCGATGGCAGCTGGGCGTCAGCAAGACTGCCTTCAAATCTTATGGCTGAGGGCTGGGGCAGAAAGCCCGGAGGTGAAGGAATCAGCATTCAAAGTGCCGGAAAATGGCGTGCGCGGGCTCTGTGTACAGTTTTGGGCAAAGCTGGTAAATCGCTCTTGCTTTCTGTCTTGATTTCTTCTTGTATCTTCTTGTTCAGGTGTTGACAGTTGGGAGCAGCCCACTTTTAACAATCGGATATGCACCAGCAACCACTGACTCGGTTCGCCCAGCGCATACATGAAGTCCTGAAGAATGAGCTGTATTTTTCACATACCAGATATCGGGCATTTTGGTTTCGTTTGGGAATAAACAAACAAAGCTAACCTCTGCCCCCTGCTCGCTCTCTGTGTGTCTCTCTCTCTTTTGCTTTTGCTTTGCCAGAGGGGCATGGTATTATCGCACTTGCATTAAGCCATCTGATTTTGTCTGGTGTTGGTTCGCGAAACAATGGCGCGTCGAGGGAATGTTAACAAAACGATGAGGTAGAGGGCGTAATAAACAGATACAACCATTGGTTCAGCTCACGCCTCGTACCTGGGTAGATAAGAGCTGACCACCTCTAACTAAGAGCCGGCCGCACCTGGCTCTTAAGGTACAAGCCCAAGGTTCTAAGGGCTTTGCTATTACAGGGCGCGTTCCTGTAGAAGTTGCATCCGCCGGTCGCAGATAGCTCCTGTTTCCAAGACGTTCATAACATGAGTGGCTCACGGGTTCAGAACTACTTCTACATTAGCATCATTGGCTGGTTCACTGCTTTTTTTACATCGAATTACCGGACCCAAGAGTTCTTGTTGTTTGTACTCAGCTTTTCTCCGGGTGTTCACCAGGGGGTTCTTCAGAGCAGCTGGAGCTTCAAAGGCTTCCACTTCTCCCTGATATTGTCGTCAGTGGTTCTCCGGATTTTGGCGATCTGTCTGATCCACCTAGCCTTCCCCCACTCTGTCAACTCCATCGGCTCCGCCGGTTCCACCGTTGGCGGATTGGGTCGCCATCCCTGAACTGATCCGTTGAGCGTCCAACCACAGGCTGCCAGTGAACCACTCAGCCTCCAGGTTCGGTTTGATGACTGCCCGTCCGGCGTCTATTGTTAGGCATTTCACCTTGCCGGCCAGCTTCGACTGTTTCCTTCTTTGCGGTGGCTGCAAAATCGTGAACCGCAGTTTCCAGCGGTCTTCTCCAGGCATGCCATCCACGGAGAGGCTCGCGTTTCTGCTCTCATGTGAATTGATAGCCCTTGCTCGTTGCTGTTCCGCACTCTCGCCCTGCCTGTGACGCGGCAGCAGTGCGCAGAGCTTCGTGATTCCCACAACACTGGCTTGGGCCACGTCCAAATCGAGCTGCAGTTGGTGCACGATCGTACCCACTTGCTCCAACAACTCCTCCCTTCGCATTTCCTGCCAGCCTCCCATAGCGAGAGAGGGCGCTCTGCCTTCTGGGTACGATCCCTCTTTTGCCAGGGTTTCTGCAGCAGGGACCGGTCGCGACATGATTTGCAGTGAGTCCTCCAGGTTCTTCATGCGGTTTGCCAGGTTCTCGTTGATCTCTGCTTGCTTGAGGCGGTATTGGTTGTTATCCTGGTCCACGGTATGGAGGCGTTTGGTGAGGTCCTCGAAGATCTTGACAGACTGTGCTCGATACCTGACATTCTGGTGACGACTCCTCCAAACTCCGCTTGGATCACTTGTTTGATGGAGATAAGCATGGCTGTGTCTGGTTCCTTCTGGCCACAAAGGGTTCTTCCCGCGCTTGTTTCCTGCTGATGAAGGCAACTCAGCGTTGGCCATTTCCATCCACTGGTGTGCGAAGAGGTAGTTCAGAGTTGAGTCCTCCAGGAGCGGCAGAAAGTTCTCCGTGTACCGACAGCAGCGGTTCCCGTGGAGCAGCGATCTGCTTGACAGTGGTGCGCACAGTGGCATCGAAGCAGACGCGTAGTATTTCAAGGAGGTAGTAGCGAGAGCGCTTTATGGACGCAGCAGGTCAGGCCAGGAAGTGGCGATTACCAGCACTAGGCTTCAAGCTGCTCCCGGTCAGATCAGCCTCCACCGCCAGTAGTGGAGGGGATACAGGCCCCTGCAAACGGCCGCGACCGAGCACACCCCCGAAGAGGCGAGGCAGACGACTTGAGCCAAAATGGCTACTCTCGCGTGCTCGCTCTTTATTTCTTTCTTTCATTCGGGCTATGCGCGCTCTCTCTCTCTCTCTCTTTTGGCTTTGGCTCGCTCTCTGTCTCTCTGTCCGTGCTTGCAAGATGTACTGTGGGTCGCAGTGGTGTCAGTGCCATGTACTTTTAGCAGTTCCTTTGATGGTTTGAGGGGCTGGACAGAACCCGATGTGCCTCTAGAAGCCCAAGCACACGATTCTGAGGGCACCACTCCAGCAAAAGCAGCCAGCGAAGTGAGCAAAACCTAAGCCGTGCTGATGCCTTGGCCCTTTTACACAATTTTTCCTCATCTGCCGTGCGCTTCCTGTTTTCTGATCGACATCCCGTGTTTAATCTCAAATGTCATTCGTCGAAAGTTATAACAACCTGGGTTGCTGGCCCATTCCAGGTGCGGCTCCTTTCCCCTGGCATCCACCTGTGGCAGCTGTGAAATCAGGGCCTGCATCATGCTGTACGGAAATCCAGCCTGACTCCGTACAGGCAAGGTCGAAGGGCTTCTCAACGCATGCCTGCAAAGTCATGCGTGGCTGCAAGAGCATCGGACTGCAGACTTAGCAAGGGGGAACAGCGGCTTTTCATGGTTCCGTTTCTTGCAGTGGATAATGCTGCATTTCTGAAGCCAATGCCTGAAATCATCCGGATTTTGCTTTTGTATGTGGGATCTGGTTTTATGTGTAGGGTATCGTTTGCAGTTTCGGAGCTCCAAGGAGCGCGCGTATCAAGTAAGCCAACAAGCCGCGGGTTCAGATGTTTCTGGCGACAAGCTGTAGCCAATTTTGTATTCTTATCTGCAAAATCCCACAAAGAAGGCAGCCAGTGGGCCCGTTAACCTAATTGATCACTCCGAAGGACGGTTTCATGTGGCTCCTGGGGCCTGAAGACCAGAACTTTAGTCCCCTTAGACCTATAATCAAAGTACATGTTTCAAATTTCCTTAGAGTTATACTATACTGAAAATTAAACACTAGTTCCTAAGGAGACTACAGAGAAGGAAAGCCTTGCCACGTCAGATTGAGGCCTGGCTAGCTGCTTTGGGATCCTCTCACAAAGGAGGTGGCTGCCCGCTATCCACTCCCTTCATGTGAGCTATTGTCTAAACTCCTAGATACCCTCCCTATATATAATCAGCTATATAACCCTCCTTTGAGGAGTGTAGACTATAGCTCACGTGAAAACGCAGCCTTTGTCCTGGTACCAGCAAGGGGCCACGTGCCTCGGGAACAGGTTCGGCATGCTGATGCTGATAAGCTGCTCATTGCAGACGGATTTAGGGTTTAGGGTTTAGTGGGCAATACCATAAAACCCTAAACCCGAAACC